TTCTTCACTGCCGGCCCACTTGGCACCGATACATTCACATTCGCGTGCAAGAGCCACACCTGGGGCATGCCTTTAAAAGAAGTTCTGCCGTTTTTCAACCCCGAATCTCAAATGCTTGTACCTCAACCTAAACTAAACATTTCAATTTGAAATAAAAACCGTTGAAATTCGCGAACCATTCTCTATGCGAAGCTGTTTCAATGGTTGTGCTTGTTCATAGTACTGAAGCTCTGGAGGTGATGGACTGAGGGAAGCTGGTTTTAGCACGCAATGGGTTTCGAAGCACTTTTCAAGGGGGGGGGGCATGAAGGTCCTCGAAAAAATGATTAGCCTTCATAGGCCAGAGATCTACTGAGGGAGTGCGCGACATCCCTTTGAAGCCTGGCTGGTCCAATTTGTGCAACGTGCGGTGTGCGTCCAGGACTCCTGTCAGGAATATGTATGTCCGTCTTTTTATAATGCGGAATGCTGTTTTGGTGAATTTTGACGTGATGTTAAGAGTGCTCTCTCGCTGCAACAGTTCTATCTGGTACGTGAAAACTCAGAAAAACTTGAAAAAAGTAACAAAATTGAATTAAATAAGAAATAGATTTTTGAACATAGCTTCCACAAACATACATCTAAGTTGAGCATTGCCCTCTCAATGGTCTTGTGCAAGAGTGCTTCACTCAAAATTTTTGGCTTTTCGGTGGCAACGTTCCGATATCCGACCACCACCCTTATCATCTTCAAGGCTCTCGCTTTCGTTACAATAACTTTTTGAACAATCGCTTCGGAGCATATTTCTTGCCAATTTATGTCAAGTGCATGGTTGGCGGAGAAGTTAGGTCACATTTACCGTTTTTCTATTCAAGCTAGATTTTGAACAGAAATGGAGGTTTTTCTCCTCACTCGTTCCTTTGAATTTCTATTTTGCGTAGCTCTTCTTGTTGCTCAGTGTATGGCTTCCGATATTCAAAGTTGACATCTCTACAAAGGAGTGCAGCAAAACCTATACGGACATGCATTTAGTTTATCTGTAGTTTTTAATGCGCATAATTTACATATATTTCAGCTGTTGAGTATGGAATCGCTTTCGACGTCTGTATCGCTTTATTTTTTCACTATCACGTTAAAAAGCTCTACGCTAACATGTCACCTACACTAACAAAGGTGCTGTACGTGTTCATGATTTGTATCACTATTGTGATGTCGATGAAAACTATAGAGTTTGAGAATGATCAACTTCGTTATGTCCCCATTTCAATCAAAGATGCTTTTTACGACATTCTGAATTCAGTATTTTGAGCTGATTAGATTACATTTCACTCTATTGGTCGTAACTTCATATGCATTCTTTTATATTACAGTATAGTTCATGTAATCATTGAATGAGTGGTGTTTGCAACATTAACCGAATGACCAATAATCATCTTCTTTGGTGGTCATAAATTTTACGTATATAAAAATCCCTGTTATGAAAAAAACGCATGCGTAAGGATGTTATGCTATGTTTAGCTAGAAATAGTTTCTTGTAGTCATTAGAGAGATTGCTGGTATAATCAAACTTCATTTTTGCTGCGAAAAGTAGCACACACAGTTTCATGAGTTTACCAGAAATTCCATCTTGGAGAAAGATACGATACCCTATATCCGCAGAAAAAATGTTGTTCGCAACGCAACATTTATTATTGTTGGCATTTCAATCGGCTTTACGGTTCACGCTGCTCACTGCATCAATATGAATGAACAATGAAGTTTTAGGTATTGTCGGATAGATTTTTCCTTAATTTTGAAATAAAAAGGAGTTCCCAATTCTGATGGGCCAATCAGTCGTTCGATTAGTCTTAGCCTATTCACCTAAAGGCACAAATCAGGCTCGAATTAACGTTAAAAGCCATCAATAACGAAGGTGAGAGTGCAAAGTTGAACGAAAATGAAAGAAACAAGAAAAGAAATTCTTAATAAAGCTCTTGACAAGAAATACCTCACTTACAATATCATTCCGCCTAGGTTTCTAAGCAGCTGTAGTCGGACGAGTTCTCCGGGCATGTCAGCCATTGCTGTTCATGCCAGCCTGGCTCGATGCCAGCAATCATCGCATCTTATTCAGCTGATTTTTGCTGCTAGGTTTCGCTGGTTTGTGTTGGGGGAGAATAACT